AATTTTAACGCGTCTTAGGGCCGTAGTGCGGTAGTGACACTTTTTCGGACATGGGTCCCTATACTCAAATGTTTTCTACTGTTGCACTGAATAACCCCTAGAAGTTTGATCCCATAGTTCTGAAACACCCTGTATAAGTATATATATAATGTATATGTATAATTTGTATAATTGTATAATTTGTAACCTTCTGTCTTTTTATTTACTCAAAATAGCTCGCCGGTCCAGAAAATAAATAACTACTCGAATGATTTCTTTTTATAAAAAAATATATATATTTACTTTGAATAAATTTACAGCATGTAATGGAAACAAAAAAAAGCAAAATGGCAAAAGTACTTATTTTACTGCGGGCGTAGGAGACAAAACGAAAGTTTAACAAAATAACACTTTAGGCGCAAACGGAGAAATACATTTAAAATGCCGCTATGCGTCTCTTTAAATTCGCGAATAAACAGTCGGATTTTTGCTCGTGTTTACCGCCCGGCGACGTACGTGAGTCGGCGGTATCCGAAACAGAGTTCCGCTGGTATGTCCGTTCGGTCGCGTGACCGGTGTTTCGACGGCGCTGACTTTCTTGGCGTACCGAGGCCTTGGCCAGGGAGAATTCATCTCTTGGAGCACACGAAATGTTGCCGAGACACTGGAAGAATTCTTTCTCTGAGATGGCATTTGCCGAGACATTCGGCCGGAAAATTTCTTCTCCTGGACGGGATTTGCCGAGACACTTGGCCGGAGAATTTCTTCTAGACAGGATTTCTTCTCCTGAGAACCACGGCTTGGCTTGTCGAGACAGTCGACTGGAGCGTTCCTTGCTGCCGGCTCCTCTTCAGGAAAGGTTCTGTCTCTAAGAGGTCTTTCCTCGGGGACTTTTTTATATACCTCCGGATTTTGGTAGTTGTCGCAGAAACTGTCCCTGCGCCGTTGAATAGGAAAAAAATACGCAGGTAATTTCCCGGTAGCGCTTCGTGGTGCGGTGCAATGTGCGGCAAGCGGGCAGCGCGTGTTTTCGTGGCGCGGGAGCGCGCAGTGTGGGAAACACAATCGTGCGAGTGTTTACAAATTTGAACTCTTATTTAGCGCTGAGCACCATGTTTTGTGCCGGGGCAGGTCGTTGACCCCGGCAGTAACGCTGTGAAAAGTCGCAACGTTACAAATTAATGAACAAGGAAGTTTTACTTGTCACTTCTATAAGTGATTATTTAGCGACCTTTGATCCACTGTATCTCAAAAAGTGGTGATTTTCAGGTTTCGCGCCCATGAAAACTTTTGTTTAGAAGGTCAAGAACTACAACATATTTCAGTTTCAGCCAAATTTACAGTGGTCCAAAACCCTATCATTTTGTGCGGAGTCCTTTAAGTTTATTGCCGATAAGTTGTTGGGAACCTTGCTCTTATTATATTTTGAAAACTTGCTGGGTAGAATGTACTGAAAAAAGAATATCTTCTTTTGTTGCATGGCTGAAAATTTATGAACGGTATTTGTGACAAGTTGGTAACAACTTGTGCTCAGTTGGCTATCTGAAAAGTTAGAGCATACTAATTAACTGACACGTATCTGTGCCTTATAATGCATATAAACAATTATGCTCTGTAAATTACTACAAGATAAAACAAGTCATTGGAGCAAACTTTACTGCACAAACTTTTTTGATTACCTGATATGATTTTTTTTACTTTTTATGAGTATAAATAAAAGTTCAAACTATATGATGATGAAGTTACATACAGATTCTGTGCTTTGGTAGCATACGGTAGCATTGGAGAAGATGCGCACAGAGCTACGTACCGTATATTTACGTTGTGTGCGCATCCCTCCAATGCTACCAAAGCACAGAATCTGGCATCTCTGGTTACATAATTGTATTTTTTTATTTACTACCTAAAACATGTACTAATAAAATCCTTACTTGTTGCATCTTCCATAGTAGTTTGACGTTGAAGAATTTATATAAAAATGTTTTTTGCAGAGCTTTTTGGAAGCAAATTCGAGGTGTTGGTGGAACGCGGCTTTGATAGATGCAACTCGGCAGCTTAGGTATAAGGGCCACATATCGCCGGGCGTATTAATAGTTAGTGGACCACCATGTGCCCTCGAGGTTTTAAGAGCAGCATGGGCGCGAAACGTTCTACGACCACCCGCAGACCACTCGATCACCTGTCTTGGTGTGTACTTTTTAATTACCTCTTACATCAACTAAGAATCGATTTAATATAATTCAATAATTTGCAGATTCAATTTTTATTGGTGTGTACGCAGTACATAACAATAACTAACTTTGCGTTATAACTGCAAAGATCATTGAAAAGATTAATTAAAGTTAAAGCAATTTTTCTGCGTAAAAGGAAAAGCGCTAATATTTTTTATAAGAGTTTCTTATAAAAGAAAAGATAAAGTAATTTTGAGTGATTCTATGACTTTGTTACCAAATATAAACATATTTATTGCATTGAAAAAGTAAAAATAAAAGTAAGGGTAGCGGATAGAGCTACGAAAGTTCCTTATGACACTTATTGAAAGTAAGAAGCACCTATAGACGTAAAATACATAGACTGCGAGTTCCCTGTCTTTAACATGTTAAGAAAATGATTTTAATGTAGAGACAGCTGTGGTGTTAAACTTACGCTGGTGTAACCTAACCTAATCTTATCTTTGTTTAGTGAAGTAGTGAGAGAAAAGAAGTCTCCGTTGATGGCTAATATAGTAATGGGAAAGTGAAAATTAGTGAGAATGAAAAGGAATGAGATGATGCTGAACCGTCCTGTTTTACTGGCTTTTCGTAATTCCAAGTTTTTGTAAACACTAGTAATCAGAATGAAAACCGCTCTTCCAGAGAAAAGAGAATATAGTACAGAATTAGATAAAGCATTATTTAAAAAAATTTAAGAAAAACAAAAAAAGGTTATAGACTGTTATTACATAGACTACATTTTTGCTTTATATGCAAAATTGATCGTACGAATCCGACTAAAAGTAAGTTTAGCAAAAACTAGAAACAGACAAATATTTTGAATGCTTCAAAAAGGATTTTGAAGCCTTGTGAAAAAAGAAATCTTGAAACTAAGAGTATCATCATATCATCATATAAGATTGTCATCTATCCTTGTCCTTTTGGTCCGACTTGGTCTCGAGAGATGATGCTACTTACTGGACAGCGTAGCAGCTGAGGGAAAGTTGAATTGGATCTTCGACATCGGTTCAGCATCTTCTTAAGGGGTGATAGCGGGAGTTAAGCGTTATGACCCAGTGGCCATATTGAATTTTTCTCAATCTTTGCCAACATATGTATTGCCTTTGCTAAAATTGTGTCAAATATAGAGTAGTGCGTAACAATCTCTAAAATAAAAATTAGTTCAGTTAACAAAACTTTTTTATATAATATGTGCTTGTTATCTGCTCATAATAATAAGCATTCTGTCTAATCATACAAAAAGAGAGGTTAGATACCCACATAGCATCGTTACCCAGCAAGCAAGCTCACGTGATAATGACGTGATTATGAAGTGATTTTGATGACTACGACGTTAAGTAACATAAATGGTATATTATTTTGACGTCATTTACGATACCAAAAGTTGACGTCGCCGATATGACGTCATTTAGATGTCGGTGACGTCATATATCACCTTATATTGAATTTCAATATAACATCAATAAAACGATTAAATGAAGTTCTAACAAAAACCTTGAGTTAAATTCAACCGTTAATTATAATAATATGTTTATTAATAACATTTGTTTTTTTGAATAATATTATATTTTGAAATACATTATTTATAGATAAGTATAGCCATTTATTTATAGATCAGTAGTCACGTACACTTTGGTAAACTGATCATCTTTTATATATTAAATTTATTAAAAAAATAACATAATATATAAATATGTATTCGGGACTTCCGTTTCCGGCAGCGAGCTAGTGAGCAATTTTGGATAGCATAGAGTGTAATTTTGGTTTTTTGTGTCGAAGTTGGCCAGTGGTTGTGAGTGTGGGTGTGTGTGAGTGGGTAAGAGTGTAATTGGAAGGAGTGGGTATATAGGTGGAGGTGAGCGAGGCGGGGGGAGGGTATTAAGGAAGGTTAAAGGGTGGCAGGGAGCTGGGAGGTTAGGTTGACAAAAGGGAAGGAAGGTGGTGAGTTAAAGGTGTAGAGAGTGTAGAAGGGGCAGAAGGTGTAGAGCCTTAGGGAATTTCTGGGGACAATATTAAGGCGAAGAAAAGTTAAGCCTTAGGGTGGGTAGAGAAAGGAAAGAATGGCAGAGGGAAGCGGTAAAGGGATAGAGAAGAAAGTGAAAGAGATAGAGGGATGGAGGAGAGGGAGGTCGTGAAGTGAGAGTTCGCCATTAGATATGTGGGTGAAGAGGAAAAGAGATGGTGAGGAGGGAAAGGAGGGCGAGGGGGAATGGCTGTTCGCAAAGAGCAGGAAGACGGCGAGGTCCCCAAGTGGAAAAGAAGAAGGGGGAAAAGAGGGAGAAATAGAAGGGGAGGGGAGGGAAGGAAAAAATGGGTTATGGGAGGAGATGAAAAAGACAAGAAGGGAGATGGGGGTATATATGGAGAAGGTAAAGAGTATGGAGAGGGAACTAGAGGAATGGAAGAGGAGGGAGGAGATATTAAGAATGGAGGGGAAGAAGATGAAAGAAAACATGAGGGAGTTGGAGAAAAGGTTGGAAAAAAAAGGAAAAAGGAGGGGAAAAGAGAAGTAGAGGTAGGGAACAAGTGGGAAGGAAGATTGAAAATGTTAGAAGAGAATATAGAGAGAAAAGAGAAGGAAGAACGAAGGAGGAGGAATGTTATAATGAAAGGAGTTCCAAGGGAAAAAGGTAACTGGAGATGGGGAGTAGAAAAGATTTTAAAGGAGATAGGAGCGGAGGTGAAGATAGCCGAAATGAGAAGAATAACTACAGGAAGGGAAGATAAAGGGGAAATGGTGTGGTTAAGGCTGGAGAGGGAGGAAGACAAGAAGCAAGTGTGGGATAAGAAGAAGAGATTAAAGGGGAGGAAAGTGTGGATCGAGGAGGATTTATCGTGGAAAGAGAGGAGGTAAGAAGGAAATTAGGGGTAATTGCGGCGGGGGAGAGGAGGAAGGGGAAAAATGTCTGGGTGGAGGACGATAGGATAAAGATGGAGGGGGTTTGGTGGAGATGGGACGAGGAGAAAAGGAGTTTGGTTAAAATAGTAAGGAGAGGGGAACAGGGAGAGAAGGGGATGGAAGCGGGGGAAGGATTGGGGGTGGAGAGAGGAAGATATGGGTAGGAAAGTCGGGAGAGGAGAAGAGGGAAAAAGAAGATGAAAGCGAGGAGGAAGAAAGGAAAGATGAGAGTGTGAAGGTAGTGTTTTGGAATGTGGCTGGGCTTAAGGGAAAAGATAAAAGTTTTTGGAGTGGGTTGAAGAGTTGGGACGTAATGTTTCTGACGGAAACTTAGGTGGACAAAAAAGGGTGGGCGAGGATAGCTGGGAATCTACCGAAAAATTTTAGTTGGGAGATACAGTGGGCGGGTAGACAAAATAAGAAAGGTAGGGCTATGGGGGGGATGTTGCTGGGAGTAAGGAGGGGTCTCGAGGCAAGAGAGGAGAAGAGATGGGAAGGAAAAGATGGAATAATGGTGAGAAGGGTGAGGGTAGGGGGAGAGTGGTGGAGGATCGTGGGGGTGTATATAAACGGGGGATGGGGGAAAAATTAGAGGAGTTAAGAGGGTGGATGAAGGGGAGAAATGAAAAAGTGAGGACAATAATGGGAGGGGATTTTAACGCAAGGACAGGGGAAAAAGATGGGGAAGTGAGGGGAGAGGGAGAGTAGAAGGAGGGATGGAGTAGGAGGTCGAAAGATAAAAAAGTGAACGCGGAGGGATGATTATTGTTGGAGAGGATTGAGGAACTGGGCTGGGTAATTTGGAATGGGGACACAAAGGGAGATGAGGAAGGGGAGTGGACTTACACGGGTGAAAGAGGGGAGTCAGTGATTGACTATGTGATAGGGGAAGTAGGCACAAAGGAATTTGTGGAAAAAATGGAAATAAGGAATCAAGTAGATTCGGATCATCATCCAGTGGTAATCTAGATCAAAAGTGGAAAAGAGTGGATGACTGATAATAGAGGAAGGGGCAGAAGGAAGGATGGAATAAAAAGGATAATATGGACGGAGAAAGGGAAAAGAAAGTGGATGGAGAAAATGCAGAAGGAGATGAGGGATGTGAAAAGGGGAGTTGAAGAGGAATGGGAGAGCAGGAAAAAGAGAATAGAAGCTGTGTTAGGAGAAAGGAAGGTAAGGAAAGTACGGAGTGGGAGAAGGGGGTGGTGGGATGAAAAATGTAAGGAGGAAAAAAAGATTGTAAGAAGGGAGTTAAGAAGGTGGAGGGAGGGAAGAAGATTTAAGGAAGAGAAAAGAAAAAAAGAGTATAAGGCGTTATGTAATAGGAAAAAGGAGGAAGAAAACAGAGCTTGGGAAGAGGTGGTGAAAAAAGCGAAAACGATGGGACAGGTGTGGGAAGTGGTGAATAGGGAAAGAAGAAGGAAGAGAGGAGGGGGTAGTGGGATTGAGATAGGGGAGTGGGAAAATTATTTCAAGAAGCAGTTGGGAGGAGTGGATTGGAAGGTGGTGAGAGGGGAAAGAGAAAAGAGGGAGGAGGGGGAGGAGGATGTAGGAAGGGAGGAAATTATAAGGGCAATTGGAAATTTGAGGATAGGGAAGGCTCCAGGGGGGATGGTATACCGGCAGAGGTGTGGAAGTTTGGGGGAAGAAATATGCAAGATTGGGTGTGGAATATATGTAGAAGGATTTGGGCAGGAGAGGGGTGGATCGATGTGTGGAATGAAGGGATAGTAGTGCCAGTGCTGAAAAAAGGAGAGGAAAATAAGGTAGAGGAGTATAGGGGAGTGACATTGGCAGGGTCATTGTATAAAGTTTATGCGGAGGTGTTAGCAGAAAGGTTAAGGGACGAAGTAGAGGGAAAGAATTTAATTCCGAAAAGCCAGGCGGGGTTCAGGAGAGGAAGGGGTACGATGGATAACATATATGTGATAAATTACCTGGTTAGCAGAAATTTAAGTAAGAAGAGGGGTGGGTTGATTGCGTTGTTTATAGATTTGAGGGCGGTTTTTGACACGGTTAATAGGGAGACTTTACTGAGAGCGATGAGGGAGAGGGGGGTGAGAGAGGGACTAGTG